GGAGCCAGGGACTGAACCCAGAACCTGGGGTCCCAGCTGCTACACCAACTGCACCTGTGACCCCCTCATTCCAACAAAGTATGCCAAGTCCTCTTCCCATCCAGAGAAGCGTTCCGAGCGGCCTCAGCCCGTGTTCGCCCACGTGGGCACTTATGCTTGACGATAGGTGTGACTGTTCCCAGCTAGCTTGCCCAGAGACTGAATGTGTTCCCACTGCGTCCCAAGGACATTGTGACATGGTGGCAGGGGGCGCGGGGGTCCCGCCAGCCCTGGAGAGGACACCAGGGGTCGGGTGGCAGTCAGTGCGTACGATCAGCAGTGACTTTACATGACGACTTCCTCTGCTGTGAAATTCCTTCCCCGCCTCACACTTCTATTTCGGTCAAGTTGTTTACCTTTTCTTGTGTTAATTCATGAGGGCTCCCCGTATTTCTAGCTAGAGCCCCCGAGTTGCCCTCCTCTCAGCTGTGGCTTCCTTTTCATCGTCTTCCTACTGCCTTTAGGAACCGCGTCTTGACATGACATGATTTGAACCTGTGCTCTGTGATTCCTGGAGCTTTTCCTGGAAATGACTTTGCTGGATGCGCTGTGAGGTTCGGGCCCAGGGGTGCTGCCTTTCCTCTTCCATCGCAGTCCCCCTGCAGGGGGCTCTCCCACGCCACGGGGCAGCCGGGTGGGCCCGGGCGGACAGGGCAGGCCTGCAGTCCCCCAGCTGCCGGGGTCTAGGACAAGCCCGGCCTTGCCCTGGCAGTGCCTTGGCCGTTCGTGGGGCATTGTGGTCTCCTCTACTCGTTGGCATCGGCTGCTCTGGGTAGATTTTTAAAGATTCAGACATAATTTACTCTGAGCAACTTTCAAAAAGCATCCAGGTTGCTTTTCTCCCAATTCTGTCCTCGGAAACAACTACTGTTGCTAACTTTTTTTTTAAACATTTAGTTCACAAAGGAATATATGCAGAGAGAAGGAGAGACAGAGATCTTGCATCTGCTGGTTCACTCCCCAAATGGCTGCAACAGCCAGAGCCGAGCTGATCCAAAGCCAGGAGCCAGGAGCTTCTTCCAGGTCTCCCACATGGGTGCAGGGTCCCAAGGCTATGGGCCGTCTTTGACTGCTTTCCCAGGCCACAAGCAGGGAGCTGGATGGGAAGTGGAGCTGCCCAGTTTAGAACTGGTATATGTATGGGATTCTGTTGTGTGCAAGACGAGGACCTTAGCCACTAGGCTACCGTGATGTGCCCCATCTGTGTTCTTAGTGCCTTGTCAGTCTAAGTTGGTTTGCTTTCGCAGTGCGTGCAGCCCTGTTGGATGAGGGGCCCTCAGATTCCCCAAGTGCTGCACCCCTGGGTGTGGGCCTGGCTCCATGGGCACTGCTGGCCCTGCTCCAACCATGCAGCCTTCATGTCGCCACTGCCTCTGGCTCACGCCGAGCTGGACGAGGACCACCTGTCACTCCGTTGTGGTGTCTTCTGCTTCTCCCTGTGCGTCACCCCGGGGCTGTCTTGTTTTGCAGTTGTTGACATGTGTCTCCCCGCCACCCTTCTGCACGTGCCGTCAGGAGGCCTGGCTAGGCCGCATCTGCCTCCCGAGTGTTCGTTCCACACCTCCCCTGCAGGGCTCACTGGGCACAGGCCCGTGTCGCCTGCAGCTCTCCCACACCCTCTGTCAGCCTGGACCGATTCCTCCAGGATGGTGTCACCACTCAAGCACACGGCAGTGCCGCCTTCCTGGAGTCCGTGTTTCTGTCCACGGCGGCCTGGTGCTCGCAGGCCTGTGTGCCTGCACATTGATGTTCGTGCTGGCTGTAGCCAGTGCTTTGGCTGGGCTGTGCAAGATCTTGGAACTTCATCTGGGTCACCAACTGCTGCCTTCCAGATGCGTGTGCAGGGAGCTGGGCTGGTAAGCCCCACGTGCTGTGGGTGCCCCTAAGTGGCATCAACTGCCGTGTCCTTGAATCCCCCTGCCATCCTAACGCATCAGTGTAAACCCAAGTCCCTCCCTTTCCCAACAGTTTGGTGCAACTTTACTTCTTTCACGGCTTCCTCTATCTCCCAACTTTGAGAAAAGGGGCTCCTTCCACCTATAACCCAGCAGTGTTCTTCCTGGTCGTGACCAGCCCAACTGGTGGGGGACAGGGAGAGTTGGACTTGCGCTTCAGCCCAGCAGCTTGCCCACCGGCCTGGAAACCGGGGGGGCAATGGCTCGGCTTCCTGCCGTTCATGTGGGAGACTGGGATGCAGCCACCGGCTCCTGGCCTGGCTCACAGTACTGCGGCCGTGTGGGGACCACCTCCAATGGGTATGCTTGGCCAACCAACACACGGCCGCCTCCCTTGGCTCACGTGTCACCTGTCTTCAGCATCCTGTCCTGCGTGTGAACACACCGCGGGTGGGGGGGCGGTGTATGTTGGGTGCCCGAGCCCGGGCTGTCTGGACGGCAGGGCTTGCTGCCGTGGGCAGGCTTGGTCCAGCAGACACTCATCTCTCTGTCCATCAAGCACACCTTGGGCATGTTTGGGGTTTGTTTGGGAACCTTGGGGTTCGTCCGTCTTTAGGGGCTGTGGGGCCAGAACCGCTTGGGAACGATCCCACCCACGGCTGTGTGCCCTCCGCCCTCTGCCAGGCCCACACCAGTGCCCTGTGGTGCGCAGCCCGCAGCCTGCCGGGTGGTGGTCCTGTGCTCGGTTCCCATGCTGTCCATGGAGCAGTCTGACCCTCAGCTGTTGGGCACGTGAGCATGGGGTGTTTCCGGTCCAAGCATGGCTCAGCGCCGCCACTTGGGGGGTGATGGGGGGGCAGCTCACCCTCAGTACTGGCCTCTCCCCGACTTACCCAGTAGCAGCACGGCACGGGGGACTTGGGAGGACGCGTCTGTTGTTGCTTGTTACCAGCACAAGCGAGCGAGCCGTCACTATGCATACGCTAAGTCAAACAGGCGCCGCTGTGATGGTCACGGTCAGCATTTTTATTAAGATAAATGCATCACAAGATTTGTATTGCACCAACATCTGTCTACTGCTTCTGACTTCATTAAATAAATTACATTTAATACAGTGCAGAATAGCTGTCTGCAGAGAGTAACTGCAGTTACAAACTGGAGGCCTCTGTCATCGTTGAACACCTGTGGTGCAGTCATGGATTTATACAGAAGCAAACTGCACAGGGCCAATGAAAAAGTAGCAGGTTCTTGCCAAGTCACTGTAGAGGAACGTGGCTGCTTATAGCTGGAGGCATGCACTGCACTGCGGGAGGGCACACGGACGGGGGCAGTGACGTGCTGCACGGGGCCAGGGGTGTGGGAGGCCAGACCCCAGGAGAGGCTCTGGGGTGCCTTACACCAGGTCGTACAGTGGAAACCGTTTTGATTTACACACTGCACCCTGCACAGGTCACACACATTTCCTCCACACAACACACAAGGAGCTGGGGGGCTTCCCTACCGCCCTTCCCCTCAGCAGCAGTCATGCAGCCCCGGGGGGTGTGTGGCTACACACGCCCATGCGCCCCCCACACCTTTACATGTCTGCACAAGGGCTTAGGAAGCGGTTACTCCAGTATTGCTGAAAAGGAAAGAGAGAGCAAATCAGCTTCACGGAACATGGGCAGGAAATGTCAGAATAAAAACCCAAGACTGAGCCCAACAGCGACAGGCCCAAGGGAACCCTCGCTCCTGTCTTGCAGGGCTTTAGTACCAGCGTCCCTGGCTGTCCCCGAGGCGCCGCCTGCTCGGAGCCCTCCTGTCTTCTGGCTACACAGCAAAGACCCCCTGGTCCCGTGGGGGCAGACACTCGCCCTGTTTGGTGTGGGTGGTGAGGCAGTGTGGGGCAGCCTGCGGTTAGCCGTGCACAGGGAGGTTGGGCCAGGAGTGAGTAGCGTGGCCTCAGTGCAGCCTTCCGGCTCCCTCCCCTTCCTTCCCTGGGCAGGGCAGTCTTTGCGCTGTGGGGCCCTGCCCAGCCTTGCCCACTCAGCTGCCAACTGCCCTTCCCTTTGGGCACGGGGAAGCCCAGGCTTATCACTGACTGCAGGGCCATTTGGACAGGGTTCTCTTGGTGAAGGTCACAGGGCACCCAGGACCTCAGCTTACTGGCCCGAGGTGCCTAGTGGGTGCTGCCCTGGCCTTGTGTGCAGCAGCTGTGTCAGGGACTGTGGCAACCAGACTGTGGCTGGCACGTCAGGAGCAACTGCGATGAGACTGGGGGAAGCTCCACATCAACTGGTGAGGACAGGGCTGGGTGTGAACAGGCTGCACCTCTCTGCCCCTGTGCCCTGGAAAGCCAAAATGGCCTGTTCCAGGCGAGTCTATTGGTGCCCCAGGTCACAGGGTCAGTTAGTTGGCTCAGCAGCTAGGGTGGCATTGGAGGGGGCATGGCCCTTTCAGCCTGTCAGCTGAAACAAGCCTAAATGAAATGGCCTAAGCAAGCTCTGTCTCTCCCTTCGGCTGCACGATGTGGAGCCGCTGTCTGCTGCCCCTGGGTGGGCACGGGTGCCACACTGCCCCCTTGCTGCTCCTGACCAGGGTTTTCTCCTATGGGGCAGTCACCTTTAGGCTAACGCACCCACTTGCAGGGGATACTCACGTTAGCTGACGGGTGTTGGAAGGCATTGGAGAAAAACACCGCGGTTAGGACTGTTAATGACTCACACGCGGGTGCTGAGCCGAGCTCGAACATGCGCAAACGTTGACATAACAATGAGGTGGTTAGTACCACATTCAAATAAAAATAATTCTATAGAGTATGTCCATCTGGCCATGTGCTATTTACAGACTGTACAACACACAAACACACACATACACACACGCTCTTCCTCTAGGTCCCTACACTAGGCTAGGGCAGCCAGCGCTGCTGCACAAGGGGAACCTCCCATGGGAGCACCAGTTCCCGCGGCTTCCTGTGCAGGACGGGGTCCCCCGCCTGAGCTAGGGGCGGCAGAAGTGCAACTGTCCATCCTAGCGGACAGCTCAAGGTAAGCCACTGAAGAGTTCAACACAAGGCAGCTATTTTTCTCTGTCCATTTAAAACGTTTTATTTTTCTTTTTAAACTAGATTGTGAAATGCCACTGAAATAGGCAATGTTGGCAAAACAATGTCTGTTACAATAAAATACATTAGACGTTTCAATAAATAACCTTAAAAACTATGCGAAGGGACAGAACCCAGTCGATTGAGCCTGGAACAATGTTTTCTGCACAGGCGAGCACAGGCCTACCTCTCGTGACGCGGATGCCAACAGCGCCCCCAACCCTGCGGGCGGAGCTGAGCGGGCGGGGAGCGGGGAGGGCAGGGGAGGGGTGGCAAACCAAGAAACACTGACTGAGGTAGCAGGACTCTGCTCAGTGCAGAAAAATTGGCTTATGAATAAAAATTAGACTGTGATATCAAATTAAATCCAGATAATCATGCAAAAGACACAATACATGCTATTGAGTTTTAGAAAAAAACCGCACACATTCGTTTCCTAAAATCTGCTGCCAATTAATTTGCTGACAATGTCTGCTGGCTCAACTATTTTTCATTTTTTGTACAAGGATGAGTATTAAACAGAACACTGTACATGCTTTTCATCTACAAAAAAATATTTGCATAAAATAGTGTTAGTTCTCTGTACATGTCAATGGACACTTTAATTATGTGTATAAAAAAAGCAAATTTTGCCCCACTGGAGTCGGAAAAAGCAAAACAAAATCTAGAGTAGGAACCCTCTTTCACCAGCCAGTATGTTCATGTGAAAATTCAGCAGAAACAGACAGTTGCTTTAAACAATAAAAAAAAATTAATGGATTAAGTTACACGTCGTCTTTAGGGCAGCTGTCAGTCAAGACCAGAGCAGCTCACTGAAGTTAGTGTCGGTGCTGTAGACCCAGATGACCAGGGGCGTTATGAGCAGCACGAAGGGCCACGAGACGCCCTCGGTGCACGCCCAGAGCGTGCAGGGCGGGGGGGCGGGCCGCACACACTCTTTACCGGGCTCCAGGTAGTTGCGGGCCACGAACTTGAGAGTCTCGTCCATGAGGATCACAGGTAAGGAGATCTTGAGCACCATCAGCCACTGCGTCACGTTCAGCGGTGTGATCTGGAAGATGAGCTGAAGCGCCCGGGACCCCGTGAGCCCCTCCACTCTGGGACTGCCAGAGCGAGCAGCTGGTCGAGCCAGGGCCCCCCATACTTACAGGCAAGGGCTCCACGTAGAGGATGAGGAAGTGGAGCGACATGGACAGGCAGATGGAGCCCACGAGCCAGATGTTCTCCCAGGGGGGCATCCTCAGCAAGGACTGGTTTTCCGACAAGCTGTGGAAGTGAGAAGGCGGCCGCGGCGCAGTCAGGCAGGGCCAGCCCGACCCACGGATGCCCTGATTCGCAGGACTGCGGTCTCCACAGCAGCAAAGGTAAGGAGCAAGTTCCGGTGTAGGACAAAGTGCCCCTCTCCCATTAGGCTTGGCCTGGCAAGCCCAGAGCTGCCCTCGACTGCCTCGGATACTCAATGCTGTGCAGGTGTCTGCATCGGGGCTTAATGGCTGATCCATCTGTTCCCAATGCCACAGGACAAGAGCAACCCATCTCCCCGTGGGGGCTTGGTGCACACAGAGCTGGCGTCCCTATTTCTAGCTCATTTGCTGCTTGTAAGGAAGCCCTTCCACTGGCCAAGAGGCAAGGGCGCCATGTGACCCCCTTTAGCCATGCCGCACCTGCCTGTGGCCCAGCCCGCCGCGTACACTCACCTGTTCAGGGCATTGCACATCTCTATGGTCACTAGAACAGACAGCGCCATGGTCATGGGGTACGGGGATTCAAAGATGGCACAATCCACGCCCTCAAAGTCTGGGTTGTCCTCTTTACACTGCAGAAAGTGACTCTGCAAGCAAAGGAATCGGGCTCTAAGTCACCAAGGCCCCAGCACAGACCACACCCGTGGCAGGGCACAGGAGAGTGCAGAGCGTGCGTGGGCATGCCCACCCCCACTCAAGGAGGCCCCATTCTGTCAAGGTCATCTCGGGCAGTACTACATGATGCAGCCATAAGCTGACCAGCCCCAGAAAACAGGATGGCTTTCAGGGAGTGCTCAGTCCTTGACATCTCAGGGACAGAAAGCAAGGTGCCAAGTACCAGCTGATAGAAGGACACTCTCGGACCGCCGTCAGCAGCGATGAACCACCAGGCAGCAGCACCCACGGTCGCAGCGCCAACATAACCTGGAAGAGAGAGCGGTGCTGACCCAGTGCCAGGATGCAGGCCTGGAGCGCACAGGTGAGCCGGGGAGGGGAGGACAACTGGCCGTGCGCAGCCCTCACTGCAGCGGGACCAGGATTTGCAAGGACACGGGGCAGCCCTGGGCTGGTGCTGCGGTGCAGCAGGTCAAGCCAGCATCCTGCTGATGTGGCTGGGAAAGCAATGGAAGATGGCCCAAGCACATGGGCCCCTGCAGCCACGTGGGAGAACCAGAGGCAGCAGGAGAACCTCTGGTTGTGGCCTGGTGCAGCCCTGGCTGCTGCTGCCATTTGGCAGTGAACCGGTAGATGGAACCTGCTCTCTCGGCTTCTGACAGCTTGCACATACGGGCCTACACAGCTGCCACCGCAGGCCACTAAGCACTGGGTGAGCGGGCCACAAGCTTTCTTTAAATTACTTATTCATTAAAAAGGCAGGAAGTCAGATCTTCCATCTACTGGATCACTCCTCAAATGGCTGCAATGGTTAGGACTGGCTAGGTCAAAGGTAGGAATTTTTTCAGGCGTCCCATTTGATGCAGGGGCCAGGCCTTGTGTTGTTTTCTGCCGCTGTCCAAGGCACACAGCAGGGGGCTGGGACAGAAGCGAAGCAGCACCCATGTGGGATGCCAGTTCTACAGGTGGTGGTAGTATAATAGTCGGGACACTCTTGTTCTACTGCAGGCGGATGGCGCCTCCTCAGGACAAAGTCGCGGTGCCCAGACGGCAGTTGAAGTGGAGATGGACATGGGCGCTGCCCCTCCCTGCACCAGCTTACAACGGAGTGCCTTCCTGTGCAACCTAGACTTGGATTTTGCCTCTCCTGGCCCCCCCAGCCACGTGGGGCAGGAAGAGGAGGCCTGAAGAGACAGGCAGTCAAGCAAAGCAGGAGCCGCTTTTTCCTGGAGGTGAGGACCTGCTCCACTCTCCCCTGCGAGCTCCTCGAGGGCCGGTTCTGCAGCCCCTTGCACAGCAGTGCTACCAAGGCCATGGGGAGCAGCCAGCAGCAGGCAGGCAGTGTATTTCTGGTTATACAAGCTTGGGAGAGAAGCAAGAAGGAATAAGCCGGCTCCATCAGGCCTGCCCAGACAGGAACCTTGAGCCTCGGGCTGTGGGGTCCTACTGCCCTCCCCGTAGCTTCTGCGCCCATCCCCCTCCAGCCACCTGGGATCCCACCCCCTAAATCATTACCCCAGATCATTAAACTGGAAGTCCGTAATGCTGACACTCCCTGAGAGAGCATTTATCTGGGAAGTCATAAAATCGCACCACGGATGGTAATTAACGATTAGAGATGTTTATCCCTTGGCCGGCTCAGGCCTGTGGGAGTCCGTGGTGAGGCCAGGGGCTGGCACTCCATCCCCCACTGGGGCAGCAGTGTGTGTCCACTGCCGCCATGAGAGCTGTGTCAGCTTGGGGTGGGGGGGTGATGCTCCTCTTCACAGTCCACATAAAACCACCCAGGTTGGTGCCCCCACAACAACCTGCGTTGGAATATGCTCCATGCTTAGCCATGACCAGGGAGGGCAGGACCTTGCAGCTGCAGGAGGTGCACAGCCCCAAACCTGCCAAGGAGTAGCTGTCTAGTGCCTTAATATCAGATAGAGGAAAGATGTACCCAAGAGGAGACAAACCAATACTTGGTTTAAAAATGTGTAATATATGGGCCCGGTGGGGTAGCTCAACAGGCTAATTCTCTGCCTGTGGCATCAGCATCCCGTGCAGGTGCTGGTTTAAGTCTCAGCTACTCCATTTCCTATCAGGCTCCTGCGAACGGCACGGGAAGCAAGTAGATGATGGTTCAAATGACTGAGCCACCGCAGCCATGTGGGAGACCCAGAATAACGTCCTGGCTCCTAGCTTCAGCTCAGCTCTGGCCCTAATGGCCAACTGGGAAGGGAACCAGCCGACGGAAGGTGGGTCTCTACAGTTCTTCAAAGTTAACAAAAATTTTAAACTTAAAACCAGAGCCCACATGGGCAAGGATTTAGCCACTGAGCTATTTTTAAGATTTATTTTTATTTAAAAGGCTCATTTATAGAGAAAATTGAAGACAGAAATCAAGATCTTCCATTTGCAGATTCACTCCCTAAATAGCTACAACAGCTGGAGCCAATCTGAAGCCAGGAGCTTTTGCTGGGTCTCCCACAAGGGTGCAGGGTCCCAAGGCTTTGTCCCATCGTCCGCTGTTTTCTGAGGCCACAAGCAGGGAGCTGGATGGGAAGCAGAGCATCTGGGATTTGAACCGGCGACCATATGGGATCCCAGTGTGTTCAAGATAAGGATTTAGCCACTGAGCTGTCAGACCAGGCCCAGTAAAATAAATTTTTAAAATACCTGCAATATATAGAAGTACTCACAGCCAATAGCCAGGTAACGGAAGAAGAGCCAGCCACTGATGAGCGGCTCCTTGGGGCTCCGTGGTGGTTTGTTCATGATGTCCAGATCTGGGGGGTTGAAGCCCAAGGCGGTGGCCGGCAGCCCGTCTGTCACCAGGTTCACCCAAAGCAGCTGAACGGGAATTAACGCCTCCGGAAAGCCAAGGGCCGCGGTCAGGAAAATGCTGTTTGCACCCGAGGAGAGGAGAGAGGACAAAGTGAGTTTTGACCATTATAAGGTGCAGGCTCTTCAAACGGGATGTGGAAGAGATGGAAACTGCTTCATGCAAAAATAAATAGGAAAAGCCCTGCATACAAGGGGGTCTTACAGATCATGGGAGATAAGTACCATGAAAAAACACCTTGCATGTATATTTCAGCTGTCTATTCACCAAAATAAAATGAATCGCCCCATTCTTTGTATTTAGAGGGCGATTACAACTGCAGCCCTAATAACACTACCAAGGGTTCTCCCAGCAAATCCCATCAAGGGCAACACTTCTAGAATTCATATTCTCAATTCAAGAGGGTCAAGAACTTAACTTGATTTCATCTGATAAACTCCAGCTTGACCCTACCCAGGACTCTACACTGGGCCAGCTGCAAGCTCCACTCCCTTCAGGGAGGATTTCTGTTCATGGGGAACCAAGACTGGGACCTGGGAAAGTTGGTCCCCACAACCCATAATGCAAAGGAAAGACACTAAGGACCCACCAGACAACCTCGCCCACGTTGGACGAGATGAGGTAGCGGATGAACTGCTTCATGTTGTTGTAGATGGCCCGGCCCTCCTCCACGGCGGCCACGATGGTGGAGAAGTTGTCGTCAGCCAGAACCATCTCGGACGCGGTCTTCGCCACTGCAGTGCCGGAGCCCATGGCGATGCCAATCTCGGCTTTCTTCAGAGCAGGGGCATCATTCACACCATCGCCAGTCTGAAAGGGACAGACAGGTGGCTCAGATATCTGCCACAAGACACTCATATCCCAGACACAAAAACCTGTGATCCAAAAAATAAAAAGAGCCACCTGCTCTGGGCAAAGTGTTTGTCTTTTAAGCCAGCATCATAAAACACATCTTAGGGCTAGTGTCATGATGTAGCATCTGCCTCCACCTGTGGCGTCAGTATCCCATACGGGCACCAGGTTCAAGGCCTAGCTGCTCAATTTCCAAGTCCAGCCCTCTAATAGGCTAGGACAGCAGTGGAGGATGGTCCAAGGCCTCAGGACCTGGCAACTGCGTGGGAGGCCCAGGGGAAGATTCTGGCTTCAGATCAGCCCTGCTCTGATCCTCCCTGCCTTTTGGGCATAGACCTAGTAACGCAAGATCTTTCTCTGTTGCTCCTTCTCTCTGTAGTCTTCCTAAAAATTAAAAAAAAATTTATTGAAAAGGCAGATAGATATACAGAGGAAGAACTTCCGTCTGTGGTTCAGACTGTGGCCACCTCCATGGGGAGGGCAATGGGGAACTGAAGGGAGGCAGGGGAGTACGTCTGTACTGTCTGGTCTCAAGCACCACCGGCTGGCGTGGACGCAGAGCGCCACTGCACTCAGGCCTTCCACCCCACGCAGCAACTTGACCACTGACTCCCTCCAAAACTGCTAACCAGAAAGTAAGCACCCACTGCGCAGAATCAGGGGTGCTGGGGAGAATACAGGAACAGCATGGCACCCACCTCATGACCGATTATGTCTCACTGACTACATAAAGATACGATACACATGCTTATTTCAATCCAGGCAGTACCAGTTGCTCTGTGACTTCTCTGCAAAGTCTTCCTGGGCCTCTAACCATCCCATGGTCAGTGGAAGAAGTGCCACCCCTGCCCACTCACCATGGCTGTGATCTCATCAAAGGACTGAAGAAACTCCACGATCTTGGACTTGTGGGAAGGCTCCACCCGAGCAAAGCAGCGGGCGTTCAGGCAAGCGTCTCGCTGGGCCGAGGGGCTCAGCTCATCGAACTCCCGGCCTGTGAACGCCTTGGACGTCACGTCCTCGTCCTGCCCAAAGATGCCAATGCGGCGGCAGATGGCTACGGCCGTGCCCTTGTTGTCCCCCGTGATCATGATGACCCGGATGCCCGCTTGCCGGCACAGCTTCACGGAGGAGGCCACCTCGATCCGCGGAGGGTCCAGCATGCCCACGCAGCCGACGAAGGTCAGGTTGGTCTACAGCAAGACAGCCACTTGACATTAAAAGAGGAAATGCCACTTTCCCCGGGTCTGAAAACTGTCCAGCCAATACTAAACAGAGGAGCAGCGCACAGCCCTGTGCCTTCTTATGACCCACTTTTTACAAGTTCTGCAAATGGGAAGCAATGGATTAAAGCATCAGAATATTTTGTTACTAGTCTCTACAATCTATGTGTGCTGCAAATTAGGTTCTCTAAGCTTTGCAAGCTCTCATTTTTGAAAAGCAGTTTTAAAGTTACATCTAAAGCAGCACCCTAAATCAGGAGGGTGACTCACTGGGCCTGCAGAAACACAAGCAGCCACTCCTTTCCTGGCAACAGGCAGACTCCCTGACCTTTACGTGAACAAATGCATGCAGGGCGTGGATGGGGAACTTGCGGAGCTGACCTCGTATTTAATGAAGTTGGCAGAGTCTTCGAGGTGCATCTCCTCTCTCTTCAGGGGGTTGTCGTGAGTGGCCAGGGCCAGGCACCGCAGGGTGTCACTGCCACTTCCCCATTCCCGAATGACAGACATGATCTTCTGCTTGACTCCAGGTGTCATAGGGACCTTGGTACTTCCAACCCGAATGTGGGTGCACCTGTCGATGACACCCTCAGGAGCGCCCTGGGGAGGGGAGAGGACAGCTCATCACCGACTCGAGGGATCCGAGCCCTCCGAGCACTTCCCCTGTCATGTTCTATACTTGCCTTTACAAACATCTTGCTCATGGTTGTTCGGCTTGGTTTGTTTGGTGTGCAGTAAACAGACATGGATTTTCTATCACGTGAAAATTCTAGTGTAAATTCCTTTTTCATCAGCTGCTTAATGACCTGTGCAGAACAAACAGGAATGAAGGGATGACATCTCACAGTGTTTATGTTCTCTAACCACAGACACCGGGACACAGACAAGCTTTTGCTCTTACAACACTTGTCCTTGGGGGCCAGAGCAGTGGCACAGTTGGCTCACCTTCAGTCTACAGCACTGGCATCCCACGTGGGCGCCAATTCCTGTCCTGGCTGCCCCACTTCCCATCCAGCTCCCTGCTTATGTCTCGGGAAAGCAGTGGAGAATGGCTCAAATCCTTGGGCCCCTGCACCCGCATGGGAGACCCAGAAACAGAAAAAGGTTTTGACTTTCGGGAGAAGCTGGGGGAGTGACCCAGTAGATGGAAGATCTCTGACCCTTTCTCTGCCTTTCACAGAAAAAAAAATAGAAATCTTAAAAAACAGAGTGAACTTAAAACACAACAAAAAACATGCCACTATTTCTGGAGCTGACTGAGACGCAGTCCTGCCGAGAACGGGGCGGGGCAGCGGTGCTGGGTGAAACCTCTGCCGACTGCGTCGCACACAGCAGGCTCAGGTGCACGAGCCGCAGGCGGGGAAGGACAGCCGTGCCCCGCCCCCACTCACCGAGTTGCAGGCGTTCGCGCGCTCGATCTTGGAAAGACCCTTCAGCTCGGTGTCAAACACGTTCATCTTCTCCACCAGGCAGGTGAGGGCGGTCTCGGTGGCTTCTCCAACTTTCTCGTAGACGCCTTTGGCCTGTGTCGGGTGAAAGTGCACAAAACAGAAACGCAGAACACAAAGCAGGTCAATGTCTCCCCGCCTGCCCGCTGCCCCACCGGTGGCTCTCGCTCCACTCCTGGGCAGAGGGCCGCAAGCACTTTGCGCTTCTTACAATCTATGGCACCACTAGTCACAGCTCTCTGAGCTTTCCAGTGGTGCTTGTCATGGTACTGTTTGATTCTGAAAAGCTATATTTTAGAGGATTCGTTTCACTGTTAAAAAGAAGAAAAAGGCTTTTTGACCGTTATATCATCATTTTAGTACATGTGCTGCCAAAGCGAGCACGATTATATCCCTAACAACTAGCCTCAATTGTCCTCAAGGGTTTAATTGCTGTCTCATCTCAAAAAGCAAGACAAGGGGGCTGGCGCAGCAGGGTAGCAAGCTAAGCCTCCACCTACAGTGCCAGCATGCCATATGGGCACTAGTTAACCAGCTGTTCCATTTCCAATCAAGCTGCCTGCTTATGGTCTGAGAGCAGTGGAGGAAGGCTTGAGTCTGTGGCCCCCTGCACCCACCTGGGAGACCTAGAGGAAGATACTGGCTTCTGACTTTGGACCAGCCCCGCTTAACTCCAGCTGTTGTGGCCACTTGGTGAGTGACCCAGTAGATGGAAGATCTCTGTCTCTCCTCTCCAACTCTGCCTTTCCAATAAAAATAAATAAATAGGGGCCCGGTACAATATCTCGGTGACTATTTCCTTCACTTGCAGACATTGGAATCCCATATAGGCTCTAGTTCGTGTCCCAGCAGCTCCGCTTCCCATCCAGCTCCCTGCCTGTGGCCTGGGAAAGCCGTCGAGGACAGCCTAAAGCCTTGGGACCCTGCATCCACGCGGCAAACCCTGAACAAGCCTCTGGCTTTGGGTCAGCCCAGGTCTCACCCTTATGGCCCACCTGGGGAATAAAGCAGTGGATGGAAGATCTTTGTCTCTCTGTAAATCTGCCTTTCCAATAAAAATAAATTAAGCTTTAAAAAGATTTGGTGCCTTCAGAAAAATATTTTCCATCCTGAGTTTCATTCAGTTTTACCCCACCTCCATCTGAACAGGGCTAAGCTTTGCAGACTTACCTCATTGTAATCCAAGGCAGAGTCATTACACAGAGCACAGATGGTAGCCAGTTCCACGAGGCCATCATACTGATGGCACTTCACTGGTTTATCATCTTTATGCCTGTCAGAACAGAGGACAGTATTAGAGCACGGCGTGCTGGCCTCTACTGCGGCCAGTCAGGCTGAGAAGGCGGCCCTGTAAATCTGTCCACACACTCCACCTCCCGTTACCTGAATTCTGCAAATGACAAGGAGAGACACTCACACTTCTCCGACAGGCGCATACGTGGATCCAGTGATGGTAAACTCATTAAGGGAACAAGTGTCACCATCTACTTTGTCCAGGATGAACATCTGCAAAGGAGAAAAGAGCGTAATGGTATGAGAGAGAACTCCCACAGCACACACTGCCTCACTCGCGCCACCTGTGGAGTAGCAGGAACCCACGTCCCTGAGCTGCGAGCTGCTACCTCACAGGGTACGTGACAGCAGGAAGCATAAGCGAGACTCAGACCTAGACGCGTGGGTGTCAGAGATGAATATCCCATCACACCACTGCACTCGCTCCTTTCTCATTTATGAAAACTTGGCTCTGGCCCGGCCCCGCCATGGATGCTGTAGTCACGTGGGGAGTGAACCAATGAACGCATCATTTCTGTCCTCCTGTCACACTGCCTTTCAAATAAACAAATCTTATAATTAAAAAAAAGCCCAAAAAGTCCTAACCCTTGCCCGGACTTCTGTTGTAGTAGACCGCCTCCGCCACCCTCCCCTCAGGCACCACCTAGATGCTGAAATCGGGCAGAAGCCGCGGCCCACGTCGGGGAAGATGACTCACACAGCCCCAAGACGGGAGGACTCGGCGTCAGTGAAAGGTTACTTTGCAATGCTCAGAATCCCAAGGTTCAAATGGCTGGGAAGGCGCACTGTCCTGTCTTGGAGCTAAGTATGAAAGCTTGGGAAGAACGAACTCCCATTTCACAACTGCATAAACATCGCTAGGTAAGGCACATGGCTGCTCGTTCTGAGAAGCTGGCTTACTGCCCATGGAAGCAGGCAGCCTGCAGAGCAGACGCCGTGTGCATGGAGTCCCTCACACCAGTCACTATCTTAAACCGGGCTTTTCTCTTCAGTCTTCAAAACTCCCAGCAGCCCTATTTGGAAAGATTTAGACTTGCATTTTCTTTCTTCTACCCCCTGCCTTTTTTTAAAATAAAGATCTTAATAGATTTTTATTAGGAAGTCAGATCTGAGAGGAAAGACAGAAAAATCTGCCGATTCTGGCCAATACGGCCAGAGCTGCGCCGATCTGAAGGCAGGAGCCAGGAGCTCTTCTGGGTCTCCAATGCAGGTGCAGGGTCCCAAGGTTTTGGGCCGTTTTCAACTGCTTTCCCAGGACACAGGCAGGGAGCTGGATGGGAAGTGGAGCAGCCAGGACATGAACTCGCACCCCCATATGGTATCCCAGTGCATACTAGACAATGATGCTAGCCACAGAGCTACTATGCCAAGCCCTAGACTTGCATTTTCAATGCTGTAAACTGTGCAACCGCAAAGAAGCAAATAAACGCACACAAAAAATCTCAGCTGTCCCAACAAAATCCCAATTCTAAAACAAACACGAGTGTGGGTGGGTGGGGGAGTGACCCAGGGGGTGGAGAACCTCTCTTTTTACTTCTCTCCCCCTCTCTGCGTAACTCTGTCATTTCAATAAAAATCAATCTTTCTAAAAAGATCTAAGGCGGGCACTGAGGCATAGCGGGCAGAGCTGCTGCTTCGGGGAGTCAGCATCCCTTACCCGAGAGCCTGGAGTGCCTGGGGAAGTCCCAGCCGGTTTCCACTCATGTCCCTGTGTCCGGCAGATGATGGCCCAAGAGCTGGGTTCCTGCTCCGCAAGAGGGAGAGCCAGACAGAGTGCCTGGCGCCTGGCTTGGGCATGTGGAAAGTGAATCAGTGGAGGCAAGATCTCATTCTCTGTGGCTCAGCCTTTCAAATAAACACTTTTTTTAAAGAAAAAGTACAGCCTGGCACAGTACCCTAGTGGGTAAAGTCCCTGCCTTGCACGCCCAGGATCCCATCCATATGGGTGTCGGTTTGTGTCCCAATGGCCCCACTTCCCATCCAGCTCCCTACTTGTGGCCTGGGAAAGCAGCTGAGGACGGCCCAAAGCCTTGGAACCCTGTACCAGCATGGGAGACCGGAGGAAGCCCCTGGCTCCTGGCTTTGGATCAGCTCAGCTCCAGTCAACATGGCCATTTGGGGATTGAATCAGCAGACGGAAAGACCTTTCTCTCTGTCTTCTTCCACCTTGTATCTGAATTCCCAATTAAAAAAAAAAGTGTTCATATCATGTTAAGATATAATGTGTCTTACTCGATAACTTGTGCTTTTGTTTGTTTTTTTCTACAGGCCCCACTAGACTGTTAACCCAGCAGTTCCATTTACTGTAATACTGAGCACTTGAAAAATGAACACCAGCATACTTCATCCTACACGTCTATGGGTTACGTGCATCTTTCCTAAAACTTCTACTCACAGTTAAGTAAAAACTAGTGAAATGGAATTATACAATAACTTCCTCTCTTCGGTTCTTATTTTTCTAAGGATAGGCTGAAATGGATTCTTATTTTACTCCAAATGATGGTCAGAAGGGTAACATGGAGCCAGCCGAGGTGAACTTCTCACATGCAACAGAAGGACTCTTCAAAAGGTTTTCTGCAGGGCCTGGCATGGTAGCCTAGTAGCTAAAATCCTTGCCTTATATGTGCCAGGATCCCATATGGGCGCAGGTTCATGTCCTCCACTTCCCTTTGGCTCCCGGCTTGTGGCCTGGGAAAGCGCTTGAGAAGGGCCCAAGCCTGGGATCCCTACACCCGCATGGGAGACCCGGAAGAAGCTTCTAGCTCCAGAGCAGCTCAGCTGTCGCAGCCACTTGTCTCCGTCTCTGTAAATATGCCTTTCCAATTAAAAAAAAAAATTAATCTTGAAAATAAATCTTAAGAAAAAAAAAATCACATTTTGACTTGACTCAAAGACTTTAAGAGCCGAGAACAGACAGTCAGGGTGAACAGGGAGCCCAGGAGTGTCTCACCCTGCAGACGGACATCTGGTTCGTGGTGAGCGTGCCCGTCTTGTCAGAGCAGATCACAGAGGTACAACCCAGGGTCTCCACGGAGGGCAGGCTCCGGACGATGGCGTTCTTCTTGGCCATTCTGCGTGTTCCGAGCGCCAGGCAGGTGGTGATGACAGCAGGCAGACCTTCGGGAATAGCTGCCACGGCCAGGGCTACTGCGATTTTAAAGTAGTAGATGGCACCTCTGATCCAGGAGCCTCCATGCACCGGGTCGTTGAAGTGCCCGATGTTTATGATCCAGACTGCAATGCAAATGAGGGAGATGACTTTGGAAAGCTGCTCCCCAAATTCATCGAGCTTCTGCTGCAGAGGCGTCCTCTCCTGCTCTGTGGCCACCATCTCATCCCGAATCTTGCCAATCTCAGTGTTAACGCCAGTTGCCACCACGACTCCCATGGCTTTCCCAGCGGCAATGTTGGTGCCCTAGGAAAGACAAAGAACTGGTCATACGAGCAGCCCCACTTCCCCATAAGCCTGCACGGGGCCTGGACTAGGACATCTTCTACTGGGCCATCCACTGGCTAGCCCTCAGGCCACCAACCAGCCAACAGTGACAACAAGCGTGCCACCTGCATACCACCCGGGATCTCCCGATTTGGATTCCACACAGCGTTCACTTATCTCTAGCAGCTCACCACCCACACCAGCTGTGGGCTCAAGCAACACACAGCCGCCTTAACCCAAGTGGCTCCAACTCTGGCTGCTGCAGCTTAGTCTCCCCTGCGCTGGGCTCTGTCCCAAGAAGTTCCCCACGAACCTATCCCAAGACCCCTGCAGGCGCCAGCATTCAAAATCCATAAAATCAAGTCGGAGCACTTCCTCCCAGCCCCACTTATGCCAGTACTGGATGATTTGACTCGGCCACGCTCACCATGACTCCACAGCACGCACTGGCTCACACTGAGCCACAAAGCCCACCACTTGAAACTTTCTAGATTCCACACAATCAAATCCCACATTTTCTAATTACTAAGAAAAATTCACATCAACAGAAAAAGTGAAATAGTATCACGAACACCCACATATTCGAAGACTCACTGCTTCCTCCCTCTCAACACGCTTTGTGAGCCGCACAGAAACAGCTGAATCACCCACATCAATACCCCTTCATGGGCGATGGCTTTCCAAAAAACAAACAAAAGAAAAAACACCCAACTTTTCAACTATGCTTTCATATAGAGTTTAAAACGTGCTTGACCTGACTTTGGGGGAGGGGGGAGTAGGTGCTGATGGATCCCCCAAAACCTGCCAATTAAACCAAGACCTCTGAAGCCACACACCCCACCACTGTGGGTTACAGGTGTGAGCAAGGCCCACGGGAGCCTCTCCACACGACAGCCCGAGCACAGTGACAGGCTGTGCCCCACTCGGGTGCCCGTCCGCCCGCCAGGTACTCACAGAGAAAAGCATGTTCTTCTTGTCCTGGTTGACAGCCCGGGGGTCGGGGACAGGGTCCGTGTGCTTGATGACGGACACAGATTCACCTAGGCGGGCGAGCGACAGAAGGGACAGTGATTTCACCATTCTTAGGACGTTGTCAAGTACGGAAAAAGGGACTTTCGGCTCATTTCAATTTAAAAATAAAACTGGGAAAACGGTAGGGTTACAACCAATGGTATTTCAAAATAGACTTATTTCTTAATTAGAATTTTCATTTTTACATAAAAATCTTTATTTTCAGCTTATCATTTTATATGCTTAATATATACACTTAATATATATAACAACGAAGCTAATCCACTAAGCCTGTGTTTTGTTCAATAATCCCAAACTAAGAAAAAATGAAAACACTTTCGAAAATATCTGTATGTACTAACCAACCATGTTTCAATAAAAGCAAAATTGTTTGGGTTTTTTCTTTTTGCTTTTGTTTTCAACATTTTGAAATTTCTATTCGGAAGGGCAGATTTCAGAGAAGGTGAAACACCCAGAAAGATCTTCCACCTAACTGGCTCACTCCCCAAAATGGCACAATGGCCAAAGCTGAGCTGATTTGAAGTCAGGAGCCTCTTCCAGGTCTCCCACGCGGGTGCAGGGTCCCAAGGCTTTGGGCCGTCCCCACTACTTTCCCAGGCCACAGGCAGGGAGCTGGATGGGAAGTGGAGCAGCTGGGACATGAAAGGTGTTTATGGGATGCCAGTGCTTGCACACAGATCAGTCAGCTGAGCAATCACTACAGGCTCCAAAGGAAGAAATTTTTTAAAAAACACATCAGGGGCCCGGCACAGTGGCATAGTGGTTAAAGTTCTCGCCTTGAATGCATCTGGATCCCATATGGGTGCCAGTTCTAATCCTGGCAGCCCCAAGTCTTGGAACCCTGCACCCACGTGGGAGATTCAGAAGAGCTCCTGGCTCCAGACTGGCTCAGCTCTGGCCGTCCCGGGCACTTGGGGAGTGAACCAATAGACGGAAGATTTTCCTCTGTCTCTCCTCCTCTCTGTAAATCTGCCTTTCCAATAAAAATAAATAAATCTTTTAAAAAAAGAAAGAAAGAAAGAAAAAAAAGGTAGTGCTGCCTAACAAGACACCGGATTCACATGGTACCCACTCTACTACTGCCAGTCTCTCTGCTACCCAGTGTGAGCCCAAATGAAGCTCCTGGCTTCAGACTGGCCCAAGCCCTGACCCCAATATCCACCTGGAGACTGGACCAGCAGACAGAAGCTCTGACTTTCTTTGTCTCTCCTTCTAACTCTTTAAAATCAAACTTTTTACTGTCATTTCTTTTTAACAAAATAAATGAGCTCCTCATTGCAACCTAAAACTACATTTACATATTGATTAGTCAATAAGAGATAACATTCAAGAACCTCTATGAAGAGTTACGACAAATATTTCTACAGACACACTGAAAACCGTGCACTTGTAAGCCACTCATTTCCCTCCAGTCCCATGGCATAATTGGCTTCTAGCTTGTTGCTGCCTAATGGAATTTTAATGGGAAAGCTATTCATAAAGAAACAATGAAAAATAGAGGGCTCAGATCCTACCATTATGACATTAACTGCTTTTCAAAACTGATAATCAGAGCAATCTGCAGAGCCTTTATATTCCATATCTATTCATTATTAAGCCAAGATTAGCACTGTTGCTAGGTTAACCTTCTGACCGCCTTGTTTCCAGCTGTTCTGGACTCTCCACCCTAGACTGTCTGTTACACACACACACACCCACACCCCAAGACAGACCAAGTAAATCCAAGGGCACTCACCAATCTCTTGGGGAGCTAACTTTTGTTAAAAGAACATCTGATTTTTATAGTTTGTTACACACAGACTGGCAGTCCTCCAATGAAAAAAAATGCCAGCAATGCAGACTACTTTTCCTGGATGGACAAAAGCTCCTGGATTGGGAGCCGACACTTCAACTGCATGGTTATCTCTGCTGGTGAGAGATTCACAACCTTCTCTAAAATGTGAAAAGAAAAAACTGACTTTTCTTACAATATTGGTAAAGCGCTAAGAAGCAGATACCTTGAGCGCATATGGGTAAGCTCGGGACATGAACGACAAGCACCACACGTCCCACACCCTCCCGGCACATAATACACACCTGTGAGGATCGACTGGTCAACTCTGAGCGTGGTAGACTTGATAGAAGTTAACCTTATGTCGGCAGGAACTTTGTCACCAACTAATTGGGAGAAAAAAGGCAGCTAGAATGAGAAACTTTCACAATCAATTTTAAACTAGAATGTTCTCTAAATCAAACACAGTTTTTAAAAGAAAATGAACAGCCTGTATATGCACAAAAATGATCAACCGACCTTGGGGTCCAATTTGTGAATTATGGGGCTGCTGCTGTGGTGTAGCTGGCTAAGCCCCCACCTGTGGCACCAGCAGCCCTCATGGATGACAGTTTGAGTCCTGGCTGCTTTACTTCCCATCCAGCTCCTTGCTAATGTGCCTGAACCCCTGTACCCACATGGGAGACTGTGAGGAAGCTGATGGCTTCAGACCAGCCCAGATCCAGTCACTGTGGCCATCTGGGGAGTAAAAACACAGATCAAAGGGCCCGGCACTGCAGCCTAGTGGCTAGGGTCCTCACCTTCTGCGTGCCAGGATCCCATATGGGTATCACTTCTAATCCTGATAGCTCCGCTTCCCATCCAGCTCCCTGCTTGTGGCCTGGGAAAGCAGTCAAGGATGGCCCAAAACCTTGAGACCCTGCATCCATGTGGGAGACCTGGAAGAGGCTCCTAGCTCCAGATCATCTCAGCTCCAGCCATCGCAGCCACTTGGGGAGTGACTCAGCAGACAGATCTTCCCCTCTATATATTTGACTTTCCAATAAAAATAAATAAATCTTAAAAAACAAACAAAACCAGATAGAAGATCTCTCTATAACTCTGCCTTTTGAATAAAAAAAGTGTGAATTACATAAGGAAAGAATCATGTTTGGGAAACCTCTAAAAAGTTCTAAATAGCAAGTTGTTCTTTGTCTCACCCACCTTCCTTCATACCTCCACCCTTCCCACCCTAATCAGATGCCCACCATGTAAACAATATAAAAATAAATAATAAAAGACATTACTATGAACCGAAAGCCAGCTCTCTTAAAAACTCAACTTCATACATAGACAGAAGCAAAAACAAAACTGCACATTTGTTTAAAATGAAAGCCTGACATAGTTAAGTTTGCACCCAGTGGTTCACTCCCCACAATGCCCCGCCAGGCCATGGCCAGGACCCACAGCCTAGCACTCACTCCAGCTCTCCTTGTGGGCAGCAGGAGCCCAGTCACCTGAGCCAGTAGGGCTGCTGCCCAGCGTTCACATTAGCAGGAGAGCAAAGTGAGGGATCCCTCGGGGCTTCCAGAGGGACCTGAGGGCCACCCAGCAGCTCACCTGTGAGGCCAACCTTAGCAACACCACTCAGGTTAAGAAAAACTGTCAGTCACATTAACAGCCCACTTAGGATTTTTAGTTGATTACACTTTCAAACTTTGTGGCCACCCTGTATTTGTAGAATGAATATCAACCTAAACTTTGCTAGGTAAACTGGCCAACTACAAGGCCTACTATTTATGGCTTAAATTTCAGTACAAGGAACTTATTTACAGGTGCTCAAAGGGCAACACTTCTGGGAAGAGTACCAAACTGGTCCCACTGGGTAGAGGGACACGCAGAGGAAGACTGAGTATTTTAAACCCTGCGTGCCCTGAACAAACCTCCTGCAGCACCTAGAGGTGGCGTGTCCGGGTAATAGGTCCTTTCCTTGACATGTGTAACACACGATGCCACAAGGCCACCCCGGCAAGAAAAGGACAGAAGCAGTGCCAGCCTGCTGCCGAGTGTCCATCCGCCTCTGACTTTAGGAAAGGACCACTAAAACTCAAAGTAGATTATCACTAGAATGGTAAACCTACTGAAGAAAAATTTTCCATTTTTTTATACTATTTGACACATACTAGGTTATAGTTGTCACTGGTTATATATAACATGGTAAAAGTCATCCTGTCCGTGAAATAAACCCTGGACACAATTTACTTCCAAATTTTCTGCATTTCAAAGTTTTTCAAGAACGTGGTTTCCTTTTGTCACGCCAGTACAACAGACAAACTGCAGCAGGAGCAGGGCTGCCAGGTGGCACGGAGTTTCTCAACATTTAATCTCAAGAGGCGGAGGTCACCCCGGCACTTTAGTGAAATGACATGCAGGTTAAGATTTAATTCCTGCTGGAAATGCTTATGCAATGAAATGCAACATCCATACTGAAAATACAAGTACCTCTCATTTTAATAAAATTCTGCGCATACTGCACCTCAGATAATCAAGTACTATTATTGAAAAGGTATATTCACACAGCGGACAGAGTGCACAAAGTGAGGATTTAGCCACTGAATCACTGCACTGAACACAATAAAGTAGTATTTTCAACTCCAGTGCTCTATCAAGAGCTAAAATGAACTCACAATATGAAATTTTAAACTAAATTAAGAAAAATACTTAAGGGCTGAGGCCATAACTCAACAGGCTGATCCTTCAGCTCCAAGGGCCAGGATCCCATAGGGTCACTGGTTCGTGTCCCCTTCCCTTCCAGCTCCCTGCTTGTGGCCTGGAAATGCAGTCGAGGACGGCCCAAAGTCTTGGGACCCTGCACCCACGTGGGAGCTCCTGGCTCCTGGCTCAAGATCAGCTTAGCTCCAGCCATCGTGGCTACTTGGGGAGTGAACCAGCAGATGGAAGATCTTTGTCTCCTCTCTGTAAACCTAATCTGCCTTTCTAAAGCCACTGTTGTGGCACAGTGACAGATAAGCCAGCAGCGTGCCATCCAGCTTCCTGGCCTGGAAAAGCAGCCAACCAGACGCCAAGGCTGTCAGTCCCATGGGAGATGTGGAAGGTGGTCTCCGAGCTTCTACCAATTGTGATCATTTGGGAGTAAAAAAATGGATCGAAGATAACCTGTCACAACGCTTCGCCAATAAATATTTCTTTAAAAAAAAAAAAAAGCGACTGTGAAGCAATTATTTTGTAATTAAAAAGAATTCCAACTCAAAAACCTGTGATAAATGAGATTCTCAGGATTTTATTTTCTAGATAAATGTATTTGAAGCAGTCCAGAAGTCCCTAATTTTATTTTTTGTTTCCTTTTAAAAAGATTTATCTATTTTATTGGAAAGGCAGATTTACAGAGAGAAGGATCTTCTATCTGCTGGTTCACTCTCCAAGTGGCCACCACGGCCAGAACTTAGCCGATCCGAAGCCAGGAGCTCGGAGCTTCCTCTGGGGCTCCCATGCGGGTGCAGGGTCCCAAGGCCCTGGGCCGTCCTCAGCTGCTCTCCAAGGCCACAAGCAGGGAGCTGGATGGGAAGTGGAGCAGCCAGGATTAGAACCTGTGCCCTTATGTGATCTTGATACATCCAAGGTGAGGAGTTACCCACTATGCTACCATGTCGGTATCCTAAATCCTTACTTTTTTTTTAAAGATTCATTTTTTTTTAAATTACAAAGTCAGATATATATACAGAGATATACATAGTCAGATATATAAATCTGGTATATAGTCAGATATATATACCCTATGTGAGCACGTGTTTGAGTCTTGGCTGCTCCACTTTCAATCCAGCTCCAGTTAATAGCCTGCAGACGCAGCACAGGATGACCCAAGTGCTTGGGCTCGTGCATGCAGGTGAAGACCCAGAATAAGCTCCAGGCTCCTGACTGTGGACTAGCCCAGCTCTGGCCATCTTGACCATTTGGGGAGTGAACTAGCAAACGGAAGGCCTCCGGCTCTCCTTTTTTCTGTACTTCTTTCAAGTAAGTGAATCTTAAAAAACAACAACAACAAAAAAACCAAAAAAAATGAAGATGTTCAACACATTTTAAACGAGGGTTCAGCGCGACAGCCTAGGTGGCTAAAGTCTCCGCCTCGTATGTGCAGGGCTCCATTTCATATCCTGGCTGCTCCACTTCCCTTCCGACTTCCTGCTTGTGGCCTGGGAAAGCAGTCGAGCATGGCCCAAGGCCTTGGGATCCGCACTTGTATGGGAGACTTGGAGGAAGCTCCTTGCTCCGGATCAGCACAGCTCTAGCCACTGCGGCCACTTGGGGCGTGAACCAGCGCGTGGAAGATCTTTCTATCTCTCCTCTCTGTAAATCTGATTTTCCAATTTAAAAAAACCCCACAATTTATACAAGCACACAATTTCCCTTTGTGTGCAGCTTCTGTGAGCTCCAGCATAAGGAGCAAGTAGTGCTGTCTCAATGATCACATCCAGAAACATCTCCCTGATTGGGCATGTCAATGCCCTTAGGGGAAGTAGTAGTGGAAAATTCTGACTCTTGCCAAGAGAATGCTCTGCCATTTTTCCTCCAATTTTTTTTCCTCTTTGGTTTGAAGCAGGTATAATAAAAGAATAATCTCTGTCATAAAATACCTCCATTTGAATAACATCTGACACCATTCACATTTAGCTCTCAGCTCTCCAAGACTGTAACTCTTATCTTGCTACCATAGTAGATACCCACTCTGAACAGAACCCTCTAAGCCCAGTTAGGTTCCAAGAGTGCAAACAGGAGTCAGATAAGGGAAATTATTATTTTTGCCACATTTTATGACTGAAGGAGAGGCCAGCATTGCAGAGCAGCACAGCCAAGCACCACCAGCATCCTTTATCAGGCACTCCGCTTCGGCTCCTGTTCCCTGCCAATGTGGGAGTATTTAGGTGGAGCTCCTGGTTCCTGGCACCAGCTGGACTGTTCCAGCCATTTGCAGATTGAATCAATAGATAGAAAGTCTTTCTCTTGCTCTGCCTTTCAAATAGATAATCTTAGAAACAAAACAAAAAGCGACTGCAGCTTTCTCTAACCCTCAGGGATGCTGGGTGGGCCAGCTAGGTTAAAGCCCAGTTTAGAATACACACACACTCATCAGAGCACTGACTCAAGCTTTTAAACCTGGTTCTTATGAATGTCCTGGGTGGTGGTGGGTGATGGCCCCAACACAGGGGTCCCTGATGTCTCCATGCAACACTGGGATGGATTCCGGACCCTGCCTCCAGCTGGTTCCAGCTGCTTCCAGCCCTGATTGCTGTAGGCATTTGGGGAGGTACATCAGAGACGTCCTCTATTCACGCTTTCAAATAAACAAACCCGCAGTGATTGTAAATATTGGGTTAATCAATGTTACTCA